CCGCGCGCGGTGTGGTCGGGGTGGGGGAGGGGGGGTCCTGTTCCCCCTCCCAAAAGGAACCACAGGGCAAGTTCTAGCCTTGTCTGTGTAAATTATTGTATCATGGGAGTGCTGAGGAGGCACTTGCCAATGGGACTAAAACAATGGCGCAAAGATTGCTTGGCCCATTAGTTAGGCAGTGCCCTGTTAAGACCTTAACTACAAGCTGGTTCCAGTTTTGCTGCTAAGGCACTTAACTGCATTGTGTCTTAGTAGCCTATTAGGTACCTTTGCAAAGCCTAGACATCTTTGTATGAACTGTGCTAAGTTTTAAAAAAAGAAAACAAACACAGAAGCATAGTGTGGGCGTTAGCTGCACCCTTGCACAGTCTTCTACCAGCAGGTGGTGGTAAGTGAACGCTTGTGCTCAAGTCTGTGGCATGGGAGCATGATGGCAGGCCCACACTGATTTTTTAATCAGGCAGCTCTTATTGCACTATTTTCCTTACAGCTCCTGGTAGCAACCCTAGGGTGGTTCCTGCTGGTGGGTTGTGTTTAAATGCTGCTTGGATATACATGTGCAATATTCTTTCTTTATCTACCTGGCATTTGTATTTGTTGACCCACTGAGTACTTTTATTAGTTTTAAACTGAAGTGTTAACTACTTAAGATAGTTAACAGTAGTCTTTTTTTTTCCATGCCCTGTGTTCATTGGCCTTAGTCATTAGCTCTCGCTGTGACTAATGAAAGCACCGATTTGTAATTCTGCCAAAACTGTAAAACTATTTGTATGGTAGACCTGATTACAAAGGCAGTTGCTTGTTTCCAGTGTATGCCATCCGAACAAAAAAAAAGTTTAAAAAAAATCTCAAACTCCTTTCATATTAAAGACATTACTAGAAATGAGAAATAATATGATGCGGTTGAGAACAATTAGCTGTAGATGTTAACACAGTGTTACAAAGTGGAGACAAAATAAAGTGCACTCTAAAATATTGTCTTATTCTGGGTGTGAGACAAAAGTTTATAGCTTATCCCTGTTCAAGTGGCTGGATACCACTCAGTAAGGTAAGTCAACAGAAATATTTAAGTTTAGCACACTCCTTCTCCTGGAGCAGGTGGTGGTAGTGCTGCTACTGTTAATTTCACTGAGTACCTCCCAGGGAGAGAGCAGGATGGCAGAGGCCTTGCATGCTACCACACTGGAGGCTGGAGAGCTATAGAGCACAAATACTGTAGTTATACACTTAAAATACACTACCTCAGAAATAAAGAAGTACGTACAAACCACTGCACCACAGCCCACCCACTTTACAAACCTTTAAGCCATATAACATATGTTCCCTCTATAGCAGTTATCACTTAGTTGTTTGCACATAGAGAGAAACAGTGGTCTGTGGTCCACGCTCATTTTTTTTTCCCTCATTGTCAGAAGCTTTGAAACGTTATGTCAGCAGCAGCGGGAGCTAGTAACGACTCAGATGATAACACAAACAGGCCTACAACAAAACGCTGCCAGACACTGCATTTAATTCTGGTTCTTAACATCAAGGCATCATTGACAGAGCCTGCGGAGACAACTCCGCCAAGCTGCTGTTGGCACAAGGAGAATGCTTATTCGTAGTGTTACAAGAGTGAGATTAGAACACTTGCTCAGAAACTCAAACATTACCACACATTGATTCAAGGATTTATTAAGTCTTACATGCAAAACATACTGCTAATTGCATTAGCAAGAGATCAATGTAGAAACTTCACAATTTTGCAACTTTTCAGTTTTGCTTTAGTGGTTGAAAGGGTATAGTTCAACATTGTATTCCTGTCAGTGTTTAGGACGTACAGAACATTAGCACTAATTTACAGAACCTCACAGACCCAAGTTACCATTACTCAATCTATGATGCACATGTAGGTGACAACGAACACTCGTCTGCATTAGTAATGTTACAGTGTGGGATAGCTGGCAAATAGTGATATTTGAGAAGGTTCATAGTTTATAGAGGTCTAAAATATAAAACTTACTAAAACTTGTAAAGCTGCTTCACATGATTTGTACACCTAGTTAATAGACTAAAAAGCTCCTCAGAAAGCATATAACTTACTGGGTCAGAAGTAGCAGGAAAATAAGGTTATGCTTGACCATTCTAATCTACAAAAAAGCATAATTCTAACATCAGGTTTTAAAATACAAGTTATATTGCTCAGTAAGAAGAAATTCTACAAGAAAAGCATTTACTATGCAACAGTTGTGGGAATGATTGGTTCAAAATTGTAATTAAATGAATGCCCTCCTTGAAATTCAAAGGAATTTACCTATGAACATCAACCTCTCTTCCACTACTGCAGGTCTGGGAAAGTGTTCACCGATTTTTAACCTGTAATAAAAGTCAATTCAGTTCGAACTACTCTGACAGTGTAGTGTAAACTGATCTGTGCAGTGTCAAAATACTGTCTGGCACTATCATTCGATCCAACCCAATGTTTCACTTATACAATACAATGCTGTCAAAAGGAGTAGATACACTTCAGTAAGAATAGTTATTTATTTATTTTCTTTAATCACAGCAACAAGAACTAGATTGCAACCAAGCCCTTACCAATGATAAAGCATTTTACACTGTGACTCAAGGTTGTCAGTCATTGTCAGTGATTTAGGTTTGATATACAACGCTAGGCAATGACCGCAGGTTGAGAAAACATCTAATGTGTTTTATTAAACTGCAGTGTTTTGCTAATTATACTGTACTGTTACTTACTGTGAAAAACTAGAAAGTGTTTTTGCATTTCCTAACACAAATTAGAGTCATCTTCAAGAAGAATCTTTAAAAAACAGTTTAGTGCTTAGTGTTCGTAGCACAACAACGCAACTTAGTTCAGCAGATAGTTTGGCAACACTTAATTGAGCAAGAATAGGATTTTAAAAATAAGGCTTTACATAGGTTTGTCTTTTTAGGATTTCGCTTTTAGTAGAATGAAAAGTAACTTTCATACTTTAAACAAATGAAACCATGAAATTGTTGATTGGTTCAAAAAAAATTTATGGAAGAGAACTAATTTATAACAGAAAAACTTGGCATTGAATGTGAATGCTCCATTGTTCTGAGCAAAGCACACAGGGTGGGGTGGGGGAGGGCAGCTTTTACAGCAGCAGACATTTTCTCTTCCTCTTCTTTACAGGAGGGGGGCAAAGAACTGCTCGAATAGCTTCATCGAACACTGTCTTGAGGCCTCGCTGTGTAAGTGCTGAGCATTCTAGGTATTTCACTGCACCTATGGAAAGCAAAAAAGCCTGCAATTACATAGCTGTTTTCTGCAATTACAGAGAGCACCACTTTTAGCTAACTCCACAGCAAAAAGCCAGGCACCTGTTTTACTTAAGCTAAAACATCCTCCACAAATAGCATTTTGATCAAGTCAACAATAACCCGGGTTCACTCGTACCGATCTCTTTTGCCATGGCAAGGCCCTGTGGGTAGGTGATGGGGGTCAGCTTCTTCTCCTTCAGTTTTTCAATAGTGTCTTTATCATCTCGGAGATCGAGTTTGGTACCCACTAAAATGATGGGGGTGTTGGGGCAATGGTGCCGCACCTCAGGATACCACTGCAAAAAAGAACATACTCCGTATTTGTGGGCAGATTTCTATGAAGGCTCTTGAACATTTCTAATTAAAGGCTCACGGCACGAAGATGAGTCAGGCCTTTGCCTGTAAAGGGGAGAACGTAGGCTCCATTAAGGCCGTATTAAATAAGAACACGCAATTGCAAAACATCGTTTTTTTTTTTTTTTTTAAATGAAGCCACAAATGTCTCCACGTACTTTAAAAAGTTTATCTTTTTAAAGGCTATGCTTATTTCTGCATTCTGGAAAACCCTGATCTGCACTTCGCCCACCCGTGGAGACCACCCGTAGAGATGTGAGAATGCAGCCATCTGCAGGAAGTCTCCACAGGGGCCTATGAATCAGCTGCCATGGACATGAAAGAGTGCAACAGTAGCAGCATAGGTACTTGAATATTGGCCGACTCCAAAAATAGATGGTATCAGCATGATTTTTGTATGTAATTTGAAGAAAAGTATTAAAAAAATGCATTAAAAGGAAATTTCCTGATTGTGAGAGTCTACAGCCATCAAGATATTAACTATGTTTGTCCTGTCGTTGCATCAAGGAGCGATTCATACTTTAGGTGTTGCAGGTGCCCTAAACTTTCAGGACCTAATAAGGTTAGGCAAACGGATGTCTGCCTTCTCAAACCACAATTCCCGCTCTGCCAGAAATCACCTAACATTTTCCTGAAGCTGCTGTAAAATAAAACACTACACTGAACTCTTAGAAGTGTGATGGAAAAAAAAGTCATGATGCCGATACTTACCTTAGCACGGACATTTTCAAAGGAAGCGGGACTCACAAGGGAAAAGCAGATTAAGAACACATCCTACAAAACAAGTGTTAGAAGTCAGCCCAGGAGAGCTATCACTGCAACAACACTTGCACTCTAAAAAGGCCAATCTCACCAGCAACTATATCACACTGTAAGCCACACCATACTTGCAAAAGGCAAGTTGACAATACGATCAAACATGACAATTAGAGGTAGTTTTCCCAGTGGGAAATCCATTCCCAAGCAGCTACAAGCAGAGGCAAAGGGGGGGGGAGGGCAGACCACCACAAATAGATTTTAATCAAGTTCTCGATCAGCTATTGCAGTGACCAGCAACTAAACACTAATGTTGCGTTGGCAGCTTTTTTTTCCCCTAAATGGCATTTCTTATCTGTCTCATTGGCACTCAAGAAACAACAACAAAAATCCAAAACCACCAACAAAAAACACTTCATGTTCTTGACAAGGACTGCAAGTTATGAGTCGTTAGACAGACTTCTACACTAGGTTTGGATGTTCTTTACAGGCCTCTAAGTGATTAAGGACTTAAAACAGGTAACATTAGCAAAGGATGTTAAAGTGTTGCTGTTACATCCACTTCTGAAATAAGATTGTATTATTCCTAAAGTAATCTTAAATTGCAAAGGAGAAGTATACAGTATAGAATAAAAGACATTACAACAAAAATAAATTACTATGTAGAATAGTCTTTTTTCAGCTTATAGCCAGTAAGCTAGTTTCCACTATTGTTAATGTCAGAATTGGATGAATCTTGTACAAATGTTACTTTTACTGAATGTCTGTATAAAAACACTAAAGAATTTCTCTATACCCAAATTAAGATTGAGCATGGTATTAAAAACTCCAAGTGTCACACTAGGTCCCTCCCTCCCTGAATTATGGGACAGCACAAAGAGAAAACAGAATCCCAGAACAGCTGGGGCTGGCAGGGAGCTCCAGAGATATCTGGTCCAAACCCTGCTCAAGCAGGGTCACCTAGAGCAGGCTGCCCAGGACTATGGCCAGCCCGGTTTGAGCATCTCCGAGGATGGAGCCTCCGCTACCTCTCTGGACAACCTGTTCCGGTGGTCAGCCACCCGCACAGCAAATACATTTTTTGTTATGTTCAGATGGAACTCCCTGTGTCAAAAAACAGCTGTTTTTAGGGATCCTGTAGCTCCTGCCTTTTAATTGAGAGAGAAAGGAAAAGTATTATAAATAAGAGATCAGGTGAAAACACATTATAGTAAGTGTTTACAGTAACTGCTGTAAAGTATACCTTTCAGAAAACAGCACACTTACATTCTGAATGATACTAGCTAGTGTCACATAACCACAAAATGAATTTCCTGCATCTGATCAGCTGAAGACTAATCTTGCTGTATTCCCCAAAACTCAATAAGCGTCTCTCAGACAATCCCAGCTTTCCCCAACCTACCTCTTTGTCCATACTTATTGCAGTAACAAGTGTGTTAAAGAATCAGGCATTTCAGAATGTTAGTTGATTGTGCTGCATTTCAAGGCATTTGGTTAGGTCAGCATCTGACATCTGCACTGCTAAGCACTTGCAACCCAGTTGTTCATGCATCACCCCAACAAGTCTCCGTAGCAGCATCCCAGAAGAAGAAAGATAAACAGTATTAAATACTGTGATACTATGGCCACTACTTCTCTTTTCCGTTTCTGCAAGTCTGTGGTGACTGAAATTCTGCATATTATGCGGAGTCCTCTCCTTCGCTAACTCCAGAGATCAAAGATTTGGTGCGACCATGAGGAATTATTCAAAGATTTCAGGTGTCTTGCACACTACCAATCTTAGTCGTTACATAAGAGGAAAAGCTATTTTTTAATACAAGAAAAGCTTTAGTTTTAAAGCAACTCATTTAAAGAGATGCAGTAACAGACTTATCTGATATAACATCGTTCCAAGAAAAGTAGTTGTTTAAAAAAATAGGGGCCAATTTATCACTATCATAAGCGAGACAAGGTAACAGAACTTGGAACTGAAGTTTATTGAAAGTTTTACATACGGCAATGGGTTGATCTGCCAGACTGGAAGATATATTCTTACCATTGGTTCCTCCAACCTAATAACAGTATGAGATAAAGTTACTCCTAAAATGGATTTAAGGGAAAAAACGTTCTCTCAACCAGCAACGTGCGTCACAAATATTCACATACAGCTTTTCTTCTGACGAGAGACACTGCCCTGTGATTCAGGGCAACCAGCTACCTGCATCCAGAAGAGACCACAGACATTCCCATAAAGCTAAAATGTCTGGCTGCATTGTCGAAGGTGACTTGCAAGAGCAAACCCCACGTGAAGAGCTTTTCTGTTCGTTTCCTAGGGAAACGAGGCTATCCACCTTTTTCTAACTTCTTCCCTGCCCCCTATTTTGAAATACTGGCTGACTTCAAATACACTTGAGAGAAGTATAAAACGCCTGTAAATGGTATTAAATAAAAAAAATAAATAAAAGATAGAAATTAATGCCCTGCTACAGCAAAGTCTTCAATATGAAGTTAACAGCTTTCGAACTGCTGGCTGATCCAAACATGCAAGCGGCCAAGCAATCGGCAACACCTGCTTGCACCTTGCCCTGCTGGTAGTTCAGGGGCAGGTACAGGGAAACAGCAGGCCTCCAGAATGTGCGACGGACGAGTTTTAAGTTGCACGGTGAAAGCAGGGGGAGGCTGAACGTAGATCCTACAAGTCAGGCTCCCTTAGCTCCACTGTTCTCTGCCCTTCTTCTTTTTTCTTTTTTTTGGGGGGGCGGGGGGCTTTTTTATTTTTAAGTAATGATGAATACCATAAGTCTAAGATCTGAAGACTGCGTCATGGGAAGTTCAAGACTTACCACCTAGCTTTCATTTTCAACATCTGCTGTGAAAAAAAATCTGAACAACTGATAAGTAGAGAGTTTGAAATACTTTGTTTAGTTATATATGCTTGTACAGAAAAGATTTTACAAATAGTATGTTTAGCTAGAGATGGAACTGTTTTCCAGTCTGTTAGAAAGTCGCATTATTTTATCAAGCTAAAGACAAGCACATGCATTCTGTCCCTTTAACGCAGGAGAGGAACTACATTCTCCCTTACAATTCCACTTTTTCTCACTCTTGAGTGATTTGTCAGTGTATGTTTTTCTACCCTGTGACACTTTTTTGAAGAACATTTTTATGATGTTAAATCTAAATTCTTCCTAAGTGTTCTCTAAATATTAATTAGGTAAATGCTACAGGTGTCTATTGTTTCTCTTTTTAAGACAGACAAATTATTTCGGGCATTTTTGCTAGACCTTTCTACAACTAGCAAGGTCATATACATCTCGGGTCTTGCAACTGAGGGGAAAGCCTAATGGTAAAGTTTAATGGGCACTTAATTAACAAGAAGAGCAAATTAAGACCAGTTTACTAAAAAAAACACTAGATGGGACTCACATTCAAGAGAGCGATTATACTGTAGAATAACTGGAGCAATCCTGCATTTTACATTATTAACATGCAATATACATATTTGGCAGTTTACAATAGTAAAGAATGCCACAAAAGCTGCAGGTTATCACCTTTCTTTTTTTAAAGGACAGTCCTGCCAGATAAAAGAACCTACCTCTAAAGAATATTTGACAGAAACTATCTTTAGAAAACTAGTCTCTGTAAAGATTAAGTTACAGTGGAAGTTGCACTGGAAAGAACAGAGTAAATTACTTCAGCATCTTCCTTATAGAAGAAAGGATGCAGCATTCAGTCAAGACTTAAACAGCTGCAAGCACGGAAGCTAGAAGTACATTTGTATTCATGTTATAACACAAACTACAAGTAATAAAATAGCCATGGGCTTAAGTATAGTTGAAAGCTGCAACGCAGCCTCTGTCAACACCAATATTCTCCTTTCATACTGCCTCTTTCACATTTAATACATCCTAAAACCAGAGACTAAACGAAATGAAGTGCTTAGCAGTGACAGCGTCAGGTTGCAGCCAAACATCATGCCTAAAAACAAATCCTGCCTTTGGCAGGAGTTCTAACCTTAAAAATCAATGGATTTGCTGATGAGGCTATTCACCAAGTTTGTTTCTTTTTAGTCAAGTATTCTAGCTAACTCTGAGGCTGCAACCACAAAAGCCAACATGTGTCATTCTACACAAATATACAAGGATGCAGATTTTAGTATTTGTACATTACAGCTGCATTACTTGCGATGGAGGAGTGCACTTTGCAAAAGGTCACTGTTACTATTAAATACAACTCTACATGCAAGAGTGTTAGTTTTAGCAGTGTTCAAAAAGAAACAACTTGTATATTAAACAAAGCTGTGCACATTTTCTCAAATTTCACACTGTGGTTCTTACTGTTTGCGGATAGGATAGCGGACGTAGTCTGTCATAGTCCTCTTGTCCAGCTGTATCCCACAAACCCAGATTGACGGGTTTTCCATCAACCATTACATTAGCAGAATAGTTGTCAAAACTAAAAAAAATAAATAAATACATAAGCTGCATTTGCGTGCAGTAAAGTAGGAAGCACAAGGAATTTTTCTACAGAGTCCTGATTGGGAAGACTACAAAGGAAAAGGTTCTTTACTCCATCCTCCTGCTCCCCACAAAACATACAATTCTTCTGTACATATTAAGTCTGGTATGGAGTAGTAGAAGGAAAAATATGCAAGACAGACTTGGTCCAGCCTGAGCAGAAGTCATCTTCTTCATTGCTCTTTTGATAGAAATGTTGTTAA